ACTCAGACTCACTCATCACGCAAACTCACTCATCACTCAGACTCACTCATCACTCAGACTCACTCATCACTCAGACCCACTCGTCACTCAGACTCACTCATCACTCGGACTCAGTCATGACTCAGACTCATCACTCATCACTCAGACTCACTCATCACTCAGACTCACTCGTACTTGTACTCATACATTCACTACACTCACTCAGGTCCACTCATCGGTGACTCACACACACTGATGTTGAGGATGTGTCAGGCGATTCGGTGGTTTCAGCACTCCTAAGAGGAGCGGCGGGGGGGTATTTCACGGGGTCCCGTTCGCGGAATTTTGTGGGGATGTCTCAGGCGGTTTGGCCATTTTCTTTTCCAACATGTGTTGTTTTCGGAGCAGATTTGGAGGATGTCTCAGGCGATTCGCTCGTCTCAGCACTCTAAGGGGGGCGGCGGGGGGGTATTTCACGAGGTCCCGTTCGCGGAATGTTGTAGGGATGTCTCAGGCGGTTTGGCCATTTCCTCTTCCAACATGTGTCGTTTTCGGAGCAGATTTGGAGGATGTCTCAGGCGATTCGCTGGTTTCAGCACTCTCAGGGGAGCGGCGGGGGGGTAGTTCACTCGGCCCCTTTCGTGGGATTTTGTGGGGATGTCTCACGCGGTTTGGTCATTTTCTTTTCCAACATGTTTCGCTTTCGGAGCAGATTTGGAGGATGTCTCAGGCGATTCGCTGGTTTCAGCACTCGAAGGGGAGCGGCGGGGGGGTAGTTCACTCGGCCCCTTTCGCGGGATTTTGTGGGGATGTCTCAGGCGGTTTGGCCATTATCTCTTCCAACATGTTTCGCTTTCGGAGCAGATTTGGAGGACGTTCGCGCCCAGTTTGCGGGGATATCTCAGGCGGTTTGGCCGTTATGATGCTGGGCATCTGTCGTTGTCGGAGCAGTTTTGGGAGGATGTCTCAGGCGATGTGCTGGTTTCAGCACTCCCAGGGAGGAGGAGGAGGAGGAGGAGGAGGAGGAGGATGAGGAGGAGGAGGAGGAGGAAGAGGATGAGGAGGAGGAGGAGGAGGAAGAGAAGGAGGAAGCGAGGAGGAGGAGGAAGAGGACGAGGAGGAGGAGAAGGAGAAGGAGGACAGCATGAACACGGTAGGAGCAGAAGCAGGAAGGGGAGGATGATGATGATGAGGAGGAGGAGGACGTGGGCAACTCGAGTAGCCAGGGCCAGACGATCGAGGTTCGATGTTCCAAAGCTTTAGGTTTTACTCAAGCGCTTCCGCCTCACTCTCCTTAGCTCTCCGCTCTCCTTCACTCTTCTGCATTCATACTCACGCATACTCAGACTCAGTCACACGCAGGCTCACTCGCACTTAGACTCGTTCATATCCATACTTAAAAATACTCACACCCGGACTCACGCTCAGAACCACTCATACTCAGACTCGCTCCTGCTCAGACTCATCATCCTTCGGTCAGCTCAAACGCAGACCGACTCACACTCAGACTGCCTCACATCCATACCCAATCACACTCGGCTCACTCGCACTCAGATTCATTAACACACACTTTTTCTTACACTCAGACCCACTTTAGCCCAGACTCACTCATGCTCAGACTCATCATGCTACGATCCGCTCAATCATTGACTGGCTCACACTCAGATTCGCCCATACTCAGACCCACTCGCACACAGACGCACTCGCGCCCATATTTACTCACACGCATACCCACTCAAACCCAGGCTCAATCGCACCCAGATTAACTCACACTCAGAATCAGTCGCTCTCAGATTTGCTATTGGTCGCACTCATGCTTGCAGACTGTGGGAATGTCTCGAGCGAGCGGTTCGCCCTCGCACACAGGCGCTCACTGACAGATATCAATAGAAACACGTACCACGAGAATGAGATGCACATATGGGGAGCCCCGCGTCGAGTAATTTTCGGAGCAGATTTGGAGGATGTCTCAAGCGATTCGCTCGTCTCAGCACTCTAAGGGGGGCGGCGGGGGAGTATTTCACGAGGTCCCGTTCGCGGAATGTTGTTGGGATGTCTCAGGCGGTTTGGCCTGTTTCTCCTCCAACATGTTTCGCTTTCGGAGTAGATTTGGAGGATGTCTCAGGAGATTCGTTGGTTTCAGCACTCTAAGGGGGGCGGCGGGGGGGTATTTCACTCGGCCCCGTTCGCGGGATGTTGTGGGGATGTCTCAGGCGGTGTGGCCATTTTCTCTTCCAACATGGTTCGTTTTCGGAGCAGATTTGGAGGATGTCTCAGGCGATTCGCTGGTTTCAGCACTCGAAGGGGAGCGGCGGGGGGTAGTTCACTCGGCCCATTTCGCGGGATGTTGTGGGGATGTCTCAGGCGGTTTGGCAAGTTTCTCTTCCAACATGTGTCGCTTTCGGAGCAGAGTTGGAGGACGTTCGCGCCCAGTTTGCGGGGATGTCTCAGGCGGTTTGGCCTTTATGATGCTGGGCATCTGTCGTTGTCGGAGCAGTTTTGGGAGGATGTCTCAGGCGATGTGCTGGTTTCAGCACTCCCAAGGAGGAGGAGGAGGAGGAGGACGAGGAGGAAGAGGAGGAGAAGGAAGAGAGGAGGAAGCGAGGAGGAGGAGGAAGAGGACGAGGAGGAGGAGGAGGAGGAGGAGGACAGCATGAACACGGTAGGAGCAGAAGCAGGAAGGGGAGGCTGATGATGATGATGATGAGGAGGTGGAGGAGGAGGACGTGGGCAACTCGAGTAGCCAGGGCCAGACGATCGAGGTTCGATGGTCCAAAGCTTTAGGTTTTACTCAAACGCTTCCGCCTCACTCTCCTTAGCTCTCCGCTCTCCTTCACTCTTCTGCATTCATACTCACGCATACTCAGACTCAGTCACACGCAGGCTCACTCGCACTTAGACTCGCTCATATCCATACTTAAACTTACTCACACTCAGACTCACGCTCAGAACCACTCATACTCAGACTCGCTCCTGCTCAGACTCATCATCCTTCGGTCCGCTCTAACGCAGACCGACTCACACTCTGACTGCCTCGCATCCATACCCAATCACACTCGGCTCACTCGCACTCAGATTCATGAACACACACTTTTTCTCACACTCAGACCCACTCAAGCCCAGACTCACTCATGCTCAAACTCATCATGCTACGATCCGCTCAATCACTGACTGGCTCACACTCAGATTCGTCCATACTCAGATCCACTCGCACACAGACGCACTCGCGCTCATATTTACTCACACGCATACCCACTCAAACCCAGGCTCAATCGCACCCAGATCAACTCACACTCAGAATCAGTCGCTCTCAGATTTGCTATTGGTCGCACTCATGCTTGCAGACTGTGGGAATGCCTCGAGCGAGCGGTTCGCCCTCGCACACAGGCGCTCAACCAATCTGTCGAGTCGAGTCGAGTCGAGTAATTTTCTGTACCAACATCCTTTACTGTCGGAGCGGATTTGGAGGATGTCTTGAGCGAGGCGCTCAGTTTCACGTCCCTAACGGGAGCCGCCGAGGGGTATTGCACGGTCCCGTTCGCGGCCGTTTCGTGGGGATGTCTCAAGCGGTTTGCCTGTTTTCTGTCCCAACATCCTTCGCTTTCTGAGCAGATTTGGAGGATGGCTCGAACGAGGCGCTCATTTTCACGTCCCTCAGGATAGCCGCCGAGGGGTATCGCACGGTCCCGTTCGCGGCCGTTTTGTGGGGACGTCTCAAGCGGTTTGCCTATTTTCTGTCCCAACATCCTTCGCTTTCTGAGCAGATTTGGAGGATGTCTCGAGCGAGGCGCTCATTTTCACGTCCTTAAGGGGAGCCGCCGATAGACGCTCGCCTTGGCACAATCCTAAACTTTTACAACATGGTATTCGCATGTTGCGTTGCATGGCTAGACGCGCATTCCCAGATCCCACAGACAACTATCCTTTTAAGAGATGCACAGATGGGCATCTCCACGCAGTGAGCAATTAACTGCAGTGCGGGCGCGGTCGCAAGAAACCCCCGCAAGAAGTCCAACCCTGAAAACCCGCGCGCGAGGTGCAACTGAGGGAGAATACGCGGCACCCTGAACGCAGCAGCTCCCTTGACGGCCGCGGGAAGTCGCCGCGAAGCGAAGAAGCCCAGGGCACCCTGACGAAAAGTAGATGGTTTCTTGAGGCGCGCCCCCACTGCACTCCTCCTGTAGAGGCGCAGGCCCGACTTGACCCTTGGGGGATCAGGAGCTGTTTTTTGACATGCCAATCCCGAATATGCGGGGGAGGGCCCTTGGGACCCCCGGAACCAAGGGGAATGGCCCTGGGGACCCCCCCTGGAGCCCCCTGGGGGAACCGAACTGTTTCTTGATCTGCCCCTCCCGAAACTGTCGGGGGGAGGGCCCAGGGACCCCCCCCGGAACCGAGGGGAATGTCCCTGGCTGGGGACCCCCCCCCCTCCGAACCCCCCTGGGGGGGCCCAAGTGGGGTGTGGATCTGCCCCTCCCGAATTCGTGGGGAAGTTATAGGAGGCAACTGCTGGGAGGTCTCCGTCGGCAGGACTAGGGAGGATTAGGCCCCTTGGGGGGCTGTTACTGAAGGGGCCCCAGGACACACAAATAAATACACACAAATAAAAATATTCTCCATATTTTCCGATATTTTGTGGGTTTTTGTTTTCCCCCCCACTTCCCATATGTTCCTATATTTTCTGGGGGATCGACGATTAATTGTGTCTGTGTGTTTTTTCCCTCCTGAGTTACGCAAGAGTGAGCCTCGGATTAGGCCGGACTAAGCGGGACTAAGCGGGACTAAGCCGGATTAAGCCGGATGAAGCACCAGGGCAAAATCAGAATTTGACCTCCCAGGAGTTGCATCCGAAGGGAAGGGTCCCAGGGAACCCCCTGGAACCCTAGAGGGGGGGGGAGAGCCCCCCCCTCCCCCGCCCAGGCGCCCCCCTGGGGCGGCCATGGGAGAGCCCCGGATCGGCGGGGACTGGCGGGCGGCCGCTCGAAGAAGAGAGGCAGAAGGGGGCAGGAGGAGGAGAGCGCCGAAGTCCTTGGTGAGCTCGTCGACGTCCTTGATGAGGGCCTCCATGGTCTCGGCGGCGTCGTCGAGGGACACCTGGTAGTCCCCGATCCTCTTTACGAGCTCCTTGCCCTTGTCCTCATGCCGCGGCTGCGGGCAGCATCGTCAGACAGTGTGCGAGAGAGAGGAAAGAGAGAGGACAGAGAGGGGAGAGAGAACGAGGAGAGAGAGAGAGAGATACAAAAAAGGAGAGGAGGAAGAGAGATAGAGAGAGAGAGAGAAAGAGCGAGAGAAAGAGAACGAGGGAGAGATATGGAAACGAGAGAGGGGGAGCGAGAACGATAAACAGAACGTAAAAAGAGGAAGTTATTGTTTTAAGAGCGAAGCAATGATACATATTTATGTTTCAACGTATATATACATCATGTGTACACGTAAAGCAATAGACAGTGAGGATGAGGAAGTGGTCGAGCGCGAGATAACAGAAAACAAAAGATAAAAGGTCACGAGCACGTCTTTGACCTCTAACAAATTCGAAAGCCACCGCAACATGTAGCGTACAACAGCAATCCGAATTATGCATGTACTTGAGCTAGCCTACACATGCCGCAGAAAACAACATGACACATCAGAGCGACCCAGTGGTCGCACGTAACACGACAGAATAGTCGCACCCTCCTACCGTCCCAATACGGCCTGACAGGCTGGAGATGGACATCCAGGGCGAGTCGAAAGGATGTGTGCAAAAGTGCAGCTGTCTCTTCACGATGTGATGGCAGGCGTCCTCCACGTCGTCGATGGACTTCGAGCAGTACTCCTTCTTGCTCTCGTCCTCGGCTTGCTCGTCGGCGAGGAGCTCGCACGGGAAAGGGCAGACGCTATTCCGCAAGATTCACAGACTGATGAACAAATCTGCTCATCGATGCTCGCACACAGGAGGTGGAGGAACACGCACTCAGAACGAGAGCCAACCACGCGCGTGTCGCGCAGGTCCCAATTCTAACTAGTTTTGGCGCCATGGTTCAGCGCGGAAGGTAGACCGTGCGATGGTTGTCCAGAACCGCATGGCGTCGACGGCGTTATTCAATGACAGGGCCTCGAATGCTATAGAGCCTCCTTGGTGGAAGCCGTAGAACTACTTCGACCGAACAAATGGATATCCCAGGACTCTGCGACAGAATACTCATGAATGTTTCTGGGCATGAATTACGTAATCTTAACAATCATCTGGATTGAGGTGCTTGATTGCGTTCCCTCTTCCAACCCCCCTCTTTCCCTTCGGCGAAAGGCTCACCACTGCCCCTCAAACATAGCCCCCCTCCCCCACTCGACCAGCGCCGCCAGTCACGAACCATGAGCGTCTCCCCCAAAACCCCTCAATAAAAATTCAAAATGCAGGTGGCAGCAAAACTCTGGACCGTGAGCGAGACCCTGGCGAGCCGTCGCGCACAACCCCACGATCCCTGCCCCGGACTCCATACAGAACAACCACGCCGCCACTTCGCAGTCGTGCTTGTCCCGGCTGGTCGGTCGACATCTTTTCGGGTGTGTACTGCCACATGCACTGGCGCACCTAGCGCACAGCGAGGGCTTGGCGCGACAGGGGCTGGTGGCGCGCTTGTGGTTACCTACCAGACCACCCCAAGCCAACCCGAAGATCCAAATTTCGGGTTGGGGGGGGTCCAAACGCGGTTGTTCGATGTTCTCCGACGCCCCCCACACTGGGAATGGAGGGCGAATTTGGGCCTTCGGGTTGGGTTGGGGTGGTGTGGTGATGTGGTGGGTGGTGAACTTGGCGCACGTGGAGCACATTGCGCGCCCCCCCCCTGGTAGCCCCTCGGGCACCTGCCGGCACACCCTGTCCACACAACACACCTGCCACGCGTGGCGCACCTTGCGAGCGTCGCATACATCTTGCGTCTGTGCTGGTACCCCAACGGATGTCCCATCCTATGGCGGCCTCGGCCTAGGCGGAATACCCGTTGCTACTATGATGGCGGGCAAGAATGAGCGAGGCAACTTGTGTTATGTTGCATCCTCAGGGGGACCTTGTCCGTCCCGTCGCGGCCCTATCCGCGTCGAATCCGCGTCGAATCCATGTCGGACTCGTCGGATCCGTGTCGAAGCCGTGTCAAATCCGCGTCGAATCCACGACAAATCGCCGTCGAGTCCGCGTCGAGCCCGCGTCGGGCACAAGAACAGACACCAATTGTGGGGACAGGTGAGGTCTCCCGAAAACGCAACGTACCTTGATGTGTTCTCGTTGGTACCTTGCCCTGGGTGACCTCCTCCTCCTTCGAGGCCGGAATGTGCTTCGCTCGTGGTTCCCAGAAACTCGCGCAAGACAACTGCAGGCTCTAACCTCGGGAGCGGCCAAGAGGGGGGTGTCCAAGAGGGGGGGGTGCAAATCATGACCGGCGGCACGTGCGCGGCCCAGCGGGGGGGCCAGGGACGTAATGAAATAAAGCGGGGCGCCATGAAATCTGGGGAAATATCATGGCCCCCGCCATGATATCCACCCCCCCCCCCAGTCATCACCCCCCTCTTTTCCGCCCCCGATACCGCGGTGCTGCCGAGACCCCCCAGTAAGGCCCGACACCGGGGCGGGCACGCACGATCGGATGCAAGAACAGAGAGACGACGCGCAACAATCAGCACGGGCAGACAGAAGATGCCGGACAGCGGGGGCGCAGGCGCAGGAGAGGGGCGGATGCAGATCGGACCGAGGTCGCCTTCACCATGTTGTCGATCATCGAGATGATCTTCGCGAAGCTGAAGTCCCGACCCTGAATAGGGGAAAGGAAACGCACCGCCGCCACCACCACCCCCAAATATCCTCCTTCTCCTCCTCCTCCTCCTTCTCCTCCTCCTCTTTCTTTCGGACTCTGCAGCGGTGAGTCCCATAATCGGGGCCGCCGAAACCAGGGCGCGCCGCGCGCGCCGCCGCGGCCGGGCGCCCGCGGGCGCGGCCGGGCCGCGGGGCGCTCACGACGCGGGCGGGCCCCCCGCAAGCGGGCAGCGCGGGGATGGCAGGGCCAGCTCCCCCGCCAAGTTCTGTCGGACGGACAACACCCCAGCCGGAACAACCGACCCCCGACAGAACGGACAGGGGCCAGGCCCCACCAAACCCACACCACCCACCCCAGGGGCCCGCCACGACACGACACGACACGACACGACACGACACGACGGGGGACGAAACGGCCACGACCGACACGCACGACACGACACGGACGAACGACACGACAAAGACGAGCCGCCGGTCCCGCCCCAGGGCGGCGAATGCTGGGGGGGACCCAGACCCACCCTGGGGGAGGCCACGGGACCTGGCGACCCCCCCGGGGGAAGGAAACCGCACTTTGGCGGCGTCCCGGGGAGCGGGGGCTTTCCGCCCCGAGGGCCCGGCGGTCCCCGCCTCCGCCAGGGGGCCGAAACCCGACCCCACTCTTGGGGGCCCTTCTCCTCCTCCTCCTCTTCCTCCTGCTCCTCCTCCTCCTCCTCCGCTTCCTCCCCCCACTCCTAGCCCTTTCGATCAGGGTCGGCGGCGCCGGCCGTCAGGTCTCTCCAATATTTGGACGTCCGGGAAATGGTGATACGATGCCCAACATACGAGACCTATGTTGCTTCACATCAGCAATTTGGCCCCTGCTGACTTTTTTCAAAATAATATTTTAGGATGAAACGCTGCCGCTGGATATATCGAGCACAGTTGATCACAACACAAACGCTCCTGCGATCCCCGCCAAAATTGCAAGAAATGGTGAGCTCAGATCCGCATGGCTACATTGCAACCGAACCGCTTGACCACCATCTCGACCGAACTGGCGGAATTCGACCACGCGTCCGACAAAATACGTTCGACGAGGGATGCGCTGCACAATGCCCCGGCCACGGGCAGCGCTACGAGGGAAAGCGGGCCCTTCGATGTGTCACTTTCAGCGCCCGTGAAAGTGACACCTCCCAGGGCCCACTTAAAGAGCACCAGAAAGGCTCCAAGAAGGCCCCGAGAAGGCCCCAGGGCGGCACCAAGAGGGTCCCAGAGGGACCCAAGAGAGGCCCCAAGAAGGGCCCAAGAGGGCCCTCCGCGGTGTCACTTTCAACGCCCGTGAAAATGACACCTCCCAGGGCCCACTTAGGGCCTCAGAAAAGCTCTAAGAAGGCCCCGAAAGGGCCATAGAGAGCCGCCCTGGGTTCAACTCCGCGTGGCGGAGTTGGAAGCGATAACTTCAATACCCTACTGGAGGCCTCTTAGGGGCCCTAAGACGGCACTGAAGAACCCCATCGGGGCTTTTTCAAAGGCAGAGGAGGGCGCAAAAAGGGGCCTCAGTGAGCCCCTGGTCTAACTCCACCTGGCGGAATTGGAAGCGATATCGCCCGGCGCCTTCATGGAGCCGCTCGGAGCTTCCAAGACGGCTCCAGAAGGCCCCAGGAGGGCCCCAAGAGGATCGAACGACGATTCCTGGAAGTGCACCAGTGAGACCCTTGTTGACCTCCGCCTGGCGGAGTTGGAAGCGACAATTTCCAGTGCCCTCTTGGGGCCTCTGGGGGGCCCCTCAGAAAGCTTTGGGGAGCACAGTGAAGGCCTTCGCAGGGCCGCGTGAGAGCCGTACCAGGGCCGCATGTGTGCGCGGATGGGGGCGACGAGTGCTGACGCTGACGAATATGAGAATGATGAGGGCGATCAAGGCTGGCCCGAAACAAATCCTGGCGCCATTGCAGGCCGCCGATTATCGGCCACGCCGCCAGGACGACGCCAAGCAACAAAACGACACCAACCAACAAACCGACACCAACCAACAAACCAACAAATCGACACCGGCCAACAAAAGGACACCAAGCAACAAAACGACACCAAGCAACAAAACGACACCAACCAACGAAACGACACCAACCAACAAAACGGCACGAATCAACAAAACGGCACTGACCAACCAAACGACAAATCACTTCACGACACCAATGAACAACGCGAAATCCACCGACCGCCAACCAAGCATAAAATCAACCGACACAACGAAACCAACCCATAGAGCCAGACCAACCACTGGATTCGTGAGTCGGGGTAGTCATGGAAGTGAGCCGCTGCAGCCCGCGGAAGCCATTAACAGTGACCAGAGCACCGCAATGCAGCAACGTCCCCGGGCGGCGGCGGGAGTCTTGGATCTCCCGCGGGACTGGAGCGTAGCGAGTTCGTCCTGGGTCCGGTTTAGTGAAGTGAAGAATTTCGGGGTGCTTGCATGGCAAAAACCTTCACTTCACTAATCTGGGGCCCCTGGAGCCCCAGGGCGTTTCAGGTCCCCTCGCTGTCTGGGTAGTCCAGGGGGCGCAGTGGCGGCTTACCAGAGGCCCTGTTCCCTAGCCTCACTTGCTTTCACCCGTGGTGCTCGACGGCCGTCTCGGAGCTGTCTTGTGGCGGTCTGGGGCAATCCCGAAGCCTCTTGGAGCCATCCCAAGGCCCCAAGGCGCCACCAATGGGGGCCCCAAGGGAGCTCCCAGAGGGCCCCGAAAGGCCTACAACAGATTGCACGTTCGCGCGAATTCTTTGCACCACTTTGGGGGGTCCCTCTTGGGGCCCTCGGGGAACGTTCTTGGGGCCCTCCGAGGGCCCACTGGGGCCCCGGGAAGGCCCCAAGAACGCTCCCAGAGGGCCCCAAGAATGCTCCAAGAGGGCCCCAAGAGGACCCCCACAAGTGACAAAAACTATTTGCATGAGGGTGCAACTTACTCGGCGCCTCTTGGGGCGCTCTTGGAACCGTGCTGGGCGCCACTCGTGGACGACATGGGCTGGGCGACGGCATGTGGACCCTGTCGCTTGGGCCATCGGGGGTGCTCCCCAATGGGGCCACGAAGCTTGTGAGCGTATGACGGAATGGGCTGGGCGGCGGCCTGTGGGCCCTGCCTGTGGGGCCGTCGGTGTAGCTCCCCGTGGGGCCACGAAGCGTGTGAAACGTATGCCGAAATATGCTGGGCGGCGGCCTGGGAAACCTGCCGCTGGGACCTTTTTTTGGTGGAGCTGCCTATAGGGGCACGAAATGTTTGAGGGTGTCATCAATGTGGCCTGGGCGACGGCATGTGGACCTTGCCGCTGGGACCTCCGATGAGCTCCTCATGGGGACACGAAGCGTCTGAGGGGCGTGCCGACATGGGCTGGGCGGCGCACTAAGGACCCTGCCGATGGGGCCTTCGGTGGAGCACCTCACAAGGCCACGAGACTTGCGGGGGATGTGGCGAAGCAGAGACGCGGGGGAACAAGGGGGGTGTTTTGATGATGTTGATGAGGATGGTGGTGGTATTGATGATGGAGACGGCGAGAATGCTGATGATGCTGATGATGATGGTGATGGCGACGATGACGATGGACGATGACGACGGAGACACGCGGAGAGCAGGGGCAGATACGCGAAGAGGGAGGACGAGGGAGGGGGCCGGAAGGAATGACGCGGGGCGGTGTCTCTTCAAAACGAAGAACCAACACTGCAATATGGTAGGAAATTTCTGGACGACCCCCCCCCGTGGCGCGGTCAATGTCCGCGACAGCATCGCTGGCATTACGAACGAAATGATCGAACTTTTCCTGCGACGTTACCCGCGGGGTGGATCAGCCAGGGATGGGGGTCGAAACCGCCCCAGCGCAAAGCAAATGTACAATCCTGAGAAAACCCCAGCCCACATCAACCGATCCGCAACAAGCACGCAAGCCTTTGACGACCCCAACGCACGTGACATTGCATAACGCGACGCGCCATCGAAAACGTTCGACGCGCGGCCTCGGAATGACATCGGGCTTCATGGAACGTCGAATGGAAAACATGAAAAACCGCCCTGTGGGCTCCGAGACCCAAAATTACTGATGTGAAGGATTTCGGCTCGTCGACAACACCACATGCTGTCCAAAACCGACGGCGGCCGCTGTTAGACAGGCGGCCTTCTGTCTCACATGGACAGCGTCCACTGCGACACCGACAGCGAGTCCTCTTCAACATGAACCGGGAATGCGGTTGGTTTTCGTACGGCAGCTTGTTGTCGTGCCGACTTCGACGTTGGTTCCTGAAACCGCGGGGATTGTTCAACCTTGAACGATCGGCCGTTTCCGAAAGGTCAGAACCTTCAACATCGGCCGATTCAAGGTCGCTGGCGGCGTTCAGCGTTGAACGCCAGCAGCGGGGTCGCCGCTGGTCGACACGACGCGAACCTACCATACACGGTCTTTCCGTACCCATCTCTATCGCACCGCAGGTAGAGGCAGCGGAGGGGAGGGGGGTCAGGGTGGTGGTGTATGTGCGACTTTGCCCGCGCACTCGCGGGACATCCTGCCCACCTGCATCCTGCAGGTCAGCTCATTCGGAGCACAAGTTTAGGGCATGTGGTCCCTACGGAATCACCGTGGGAACAGCATGACACAAGTCACGACCTTCGGCCTATCTGAACCTAACATGGCGGAGCTCTGCGCGGAGGTCCTGGAGCGGCTCTGGACCCCCCCCCCTCCGTGCCCTGGCGGGCGAGGTGCGCCAGGCGCACCGCCGGAGGCGCCGCCAGGGGGGGGTCTTCGTTCCGCGTGGGCCTTCGCACGTTCCCTGATGATGCTGTGTTTGCTGCTCTACTCATCTGACCGCCTACCAGACCACTCCCACCCAACCCGATGACCCGAATTTCGGGCTGGCGGGGGACGGGCTTCGGATGTCGTGTTGTCCACTGTTCCCCGGCCCCCCACCCCACCCCCACTGGAAATGGAGGGAAAATCGGGGCCTCCGGGTTGGGTTGGGCTTGTTTGGTGGGCGGTGAATCCTTGTGCGTACGATGCCAAAGAGTAGCGCCTGCATGCGCAACAAGTGCTGTTGTCCTCTGGAACCACTCTGACCACAGTTCTTGTCCTGACGACAGCCATTCTTGTCCACTTGGGCAACAAGCGCGGTCAAATGCACAGGAGCTCTTGTGGCAAGATGTGTTGCCTGATGGGCCGCGAATGAAAGCAGATATTGCTCCAGATAAATAGGCACTGCTATTGGGCATCGTACCCATGTCTTCTGTCCCCCTTCTGGGCGTGCAGAATCCAGCATCCCCCCAGGCGGTGGTGGTGGTCGAGGTTCGCTTCTTGCTCTCCAGCCTGCAGAGCCATGGTCAGGAAATCCAGCTGCGCCCTCTCGGTCGGGGCCTCCGGCTGGGCGCCGCCGAACTACCAATCCTCCACGATTCCCCCACATCCTTCACGAGCTCTTTTCCTCCTCCTCCTCTTTGTCCTCCTCCTCCTCCTGATCCTCCTCATCCTCCGCTTTTTCGATCGCCGCCTCCTCGTCCTCCATTGCCTCCGCCTATTCTTCTACTCTACGAATTCCTCCATATCATCATCCTCCGCCTCCTCCTCCTCCTCCTCCTCTTTGTCCTCCTCTGCCTCCGCCTTCACCTCCTCCGCCTCTGCCTCCTCCTCCTCCTCCGCCTCCTCCTCCGCACCATCACCACCACCACCACCAGCACCAGCACCAGCATCATCATCATCATCATCATCATCATCATCATCATCAGCATCATCACCATCATCATCACCATCATCATCGTCAGCAGCAGCATCAGCATCAGCATCAGCGTCAGCGTCAGCACCACCACCATCATCCTCATCATCATCAACAGCATCATCATCACCATCAACATCATCATCATCATCATCACGATCACGATCACGATCATGATCATCATCGTCGTCACCATGGTCATACTCATCAGCAGCATCATAACTATCATCACCATCAGCATCGTCATCATCACCGTGATCATCACCGTCATCATCATCAGAAGCAGTAGCATATTCATCATCATAATCATCGTCATCCTCGTCGACATCATTACCATCGTAGCACCATAGTTGTCATCCTCGTCTGCATCAACATCAGCATGGCCATCATCATCAGCATCATCAGCATCATCACTATCATCACAATCATTGTCATCGTCATCATCACCAGCGTCATGATCATCGTCATCAGCAGCATCATCATCATGACCATCATTAATGTCAGCTTCATCATCATCATGATCATCATCAGTATCATGATCGTGATCGTCGTCAGCATCATCATCATGGGTAGCATAATTAGCATCACCATCATCGTCATCGTCATGTTCATCGTTATCATCATCATCATTAGCAGCAAGATTATCGTCATCGTCATCATTATCAGCATCGACACTATCGTCGTTGTCATCGTCATTGGCATCGGCACCATCATCAGAATCGTCATCATCATCCTCATCGTCATCCTTATCATCGCCATCGTCGTCATCATCATCAAAACCAGCATCATCCGTATCATTATCATAATCAAGATTAATACCATCCTCATCATCAACATCAGCATCATCAATATCATCAGCATCGTCACTGTCGTCGTGGTCATCGTCATCACCTTGATCATCATTACCATCATCGTCATCATCATCGTGGTCAGCATCATCATCAGTGTCAGCATACTCATCAGCATCATCACCATCGTCATCATTTCTTTCATGATAGGCGTCCACATCATCATCATCATCATCATCATCATCATCATCATAGTCGACGGCATCGTCGTCAGTATCAGCATCATCATGATCAGAATCATCGCCATCGTCATCGACTTCGTCGTCGGCATAGTCATGATCATCGTCATCATCAGCATCATCATCATCACCGGCGTCATTGTCATCGTCATCGTCCTCATCATCACCATCGTCATTATGAGCCTCATTTGTCGTCATCGCCATCGCCATCGTCATCATCGCCATCACCACCATGAGCAACAGCCATCATCATTGTCATCGTCATCGCCATCGTCATCGTCATCAGCATCGCCATCATCACCAGCAGTAGCATCATCAGCAGCAGCATCAACATCGTCAGCACCATCAGAACCATCATCATCATGATCATCATCATCATCATCATCCTTACCACCAGCATCATCAGCATCATCATTAGCACTTCATCGATATCGTCATCATCATTGTCATCATCATCAGACTCGTCATCATCAGCAATAAAATCATCATCACCGTTGTCACTATCATCATCATCATCAGCATCAGCATCATCATCATCATCATCATCATCATCATCATCATCCTTGTTATCATCATTATTGTCAGCATCATCATTGTCATAGCCAGCATCATTAGGATTAACAGCATCATCATCGTCACCGTCACCGTTGTCGTCATCAACACCATCATAATCAATATCACCATGTGTATCATCATCGTCCTCATCATCACCGTCGTCATCACCATCGTCGTCCTCATCATCATGAGCATCATCATGGCCGTCATCGGCCTCGTCAACAGCAACATAATGGTCATCGTCATCGTCCTCACCATCGTCATCATTGTCATTGGCAGCGTCATCATCTGCATCATCATCATCCCCCTCATCATCGACATCGCCATCATCATCATCATCATCATACTCACCATCACCCACTCATCACCAACTCATCATCAACTCATCATCACTATCACCATCTTCATCATCACAATCGCCGTGGTCGTGGTCGTGGTCGTCGTGGTCGGCATCGTCATCGGCATTGGCATCGTAAACGTCAACATCATCATCATCATCATCATCATCATTCTCATCATCATGATCAGCACAATCATCATCGTCGGCATCGTCATCGACAACATGATCATCTTCATCATCGTCGACATTGTCTTCGTCATCGACATCATCGTCCTCAACATCAACATCATCAGTTTCATCACCATCGTGTTCATCATCATGTTTACCATCATTACCATCGTAATCAACATCATCATTATCGTCATCGTCATCTGCATCATTATTATCATCGGCACAGTCATCATCATCATCAAACTCATCATCATCCTCGTCGTCATCGTCATCGTCATCATCATGGTCGTACTCTTGCTCCTCCTCCTCCTCCTGATCATCTATCATCCTCACCCTCAGCCCCATCATCCCGATACCCCTTTGAAAGGTCTAGGAAGAGAAGGCCTTGAGGATGCACGGAGGGTCGGGGGAGGAGAGACCCCCCCCCCGCGCACGGGGGCTGCGGGGGGAAGGTCGACGGGGACGGGGGGAGGCGGCGAGCGATCGGAGGCGAGGGGTGGGGATAGCAGAGTTCGGTGGGGCTGCGGAGACTTTGCCCTGGCGACAGCCGCGGCTCGCGTGGGGCACGGGCGGCGCCCTCGCGCGCGCGCGCGCCTCGTCCCATTGGGAGTGCTGGGGAAAACCCAGCGCCTCCTGGCCGAGGAGGGCAGGAGGAGGAGGAGGAGGAGGAGGAGGAGGAGGCGGAGGAGGAGGGAGGAGGAGGAGGGAAGGGGAAAACAAAGAGGAGGAGGGAGGAGAGGAGGAACAGGAGGAGGAAGGCGAAAATAAAGAGGAGGAGGAGGAGGAGGAGAGGAGGAGGAGGAGGAGGAGGAGGAGGAGGAGGAGGAGGAGGAGGAGGAAGGCGCGAACTGCGCGCGGCGCCACGGAGGTGGGAGGGCCAGCGGCCGCGGTGTGGCAGGCGCAGAGCAGGGAGTCCCGAAAGCCTCGCGTGCCCCCCCCCCCCCCCCGGGCGCGGCGCGGCGCCCGCAGCGCGCCCCCCCCCCCCCGCAGAAGGCCAGCAGCGCGTGCCGCGGCGGGGCGCGGCGACGCTGGAGGAAAGAACGAGGCTTCGGACAGCTCGCAGCGCCGTCGGGTCCCAAGCTTCGCACGCCCTCTAGCATGGATTCGGGATCCGTTTCTCTGGCGCGTGGGCGCCACGTCCACACACACACACCCCCATACACATGGATTCGGGACGCGTTTCTCTGGAATCGGGGAACACAACCCCCCCCCCATACACTGCGCCAATGCCGCCCCGTTCGGGGACGCGGAAAGGCCGATGAGGCACGGAAGCGGGACCGATCGCTAGCCCACGTGCCCCAATCCATGTCTTCATGTGGCCGAAATTCCCCCGCCCCCCTCCCCCTCGGCTGCACGTGAGAGTGACCATGAGTAAGAGTGACCTTTGGTGCGCGGCTTCACCGGGGAACGCGGGGTGGCCAAGCACAGGCGCGCAAGCCGCTGCTGCCGCTTCGCGTCCGGCGATCGGGGGACCCCACTGGGCCCGCACCAAAGGTCACTCAGGCGAAAGGCTTCTCTCACGTGTAGTCGGCCCCCTCAGGGGGGCGGATTTCGACGACCCCGTCCCTGCTCCAGCTCTCCCCGGGGGATCCCTGCGCCCCGGACTCGCCGCGGCGCTGCCTCCCGGGCCCGGGCGCCTCGGCACGCAGCCGGCGCGCCCCCGCCCCCCGACAGCCCGACAGCCCGCCGCGGAAGGCGCTGCCGTGCATTCGGATCGGAGAAACCGGGTGGAGGGGCGCACTGGTTGGGTACAGGAATGCGGCCTGACATACGGAACGATAGATAAGGAACGAAGCCCCTTCTTGTTCCAAGTCAGTCTACGAAGTCCGAGGGAACGGACCCGCGCGTCCAAAATCTGAAGGAACACTAGGGGGGGCTCGCCGCTACAAAGGTGGCGGAACGCATACAAACCAAAGGAATGACCGAGCCCTTTTTGAAGAGTTAGTGTTCCTTATTCAAGCCGGATCCTGTAGGGGCAGAGGTGGGCTGGGAGGAAAATCGCTCGACCAAGAGGAACGGTGAGCAAGATCGGCACCGACGTCTCCGCGTTCTGCCTTGGTTATGGTCAGCGTTTTCCCGCCCTCTAACGAAGGGGGAGGCGGACGAGACGGGGAGACGGCGGGAGGAGCGGGGGGCCTTGCCAGCCCGCGACCTCTCCACCAGCGCGAGGGCACGCTTCCGCAGCGCCATGCCGCTTGCCTGGAAAGGGATGGGTACCCATCGGTCGGAAGAAGTAGGTAGAAGCATGACGTTTGAAGGCGTTGAAAGTAGATTGGCTCTCCGCCCGCCCACTGAAGAGAAGGGAAGAGGGGAAGCCACTTGATCATTGCAGAAAGGCGCTTAAAGTAGATTGGAACATGGGCATCCAGAAATACCTACCTTGAACGACCAATGGATACACGAACGAAAGAACAAACAACCACCACTGCGGACAGATGTCGGGGCCCCGCAAACGGCCAGGTGGGCGAAGCCGCGTCCCTGGAGTCTGCCAGCTGCTGGCCGAGGGGGGGAGTGGCGTGTGGATGGCACGGCGAGGAGGGCTCGCCCTTTCCTTCGGGCGGGCGGTTGGGGTGACCTACTGTGGAGGCCAGCCCACAAGAAACCTTCCACAAGAAACCCAACCCTGGAACCGACGGGCGTCTCGTGATTTCTGGTGTGGGACAGTCACGCTGTCCATCGCAAACCATCGACACCCAAGAAACCCAGGGCACCCTGGAGGAAAGCAGGGTTGTTCTTGGCATGGGTCTCCACTGTGAGTGGGGGGTTGAACAAAATAGCCCCTTCAGGGCTCTTTCCTTCGCCCACCTAGTCCGGTCATCCCCCACTACCGCCCGCCCGATCCCCCCCCCCCACCCACCTGCGCGCTAGGCGCAGGGCCCCCAGGGGTTCCGCTGGACGGGTCTCACTGCTCGCCCGCGCCACCATCCCCCCCTCCCCCCCCCCCCGTGCCCTCATCCTTGTGTCGGGCCTGTCTCCCTACAGGGGGATTTTCGACGAATAACAAAGAATACCCCACAAATGGTCAAAAAATACTCCAAACATAGTCTGGGGACTATTATTTGCGTATTCTTTGGCCTTTTTTGAATATGTTTGGGGTGTCTGTATTTTCTCGTCGAAAATCCCACTGTAGGGGGACACGCCCGACATAACCCCATCCTCGAGGTCCCCGTCCTGCTGCACGGGCACCTCGCCCTCCCCTTCCTCCCCCCGTGCGCGCGCCCTGCTCCTCCTCCGTCCTCGCCCCCCGCCGGCTCCGCCCAGTCCTCCCTTTCCCCGCCCCCCCCCCCTCGCGACGAGATGGAACGGAAGGAGCACGAGGCGGAGGGCGGCGAGAGTCTCGTCCTCGTCGTCGTCGTCGTCGTGGTGGTGGTGATAGTCGTAGTCGTCGTCGTAAACGTCGTCGTCGTCGACGTCGTCGTCGTCGTCGTCGTCGTCGTCGTCGTCGTCCCCCCCTCCTCTTCGTCCTCAACTCCCTCCCAGCCCTCCCCTCGCGACGACATGGAACGGAAGGAGCACGAGGCGGACGGCGGCGAGAGTCTCGTCCTCGTCGTCGTCGTCGTGGTGGTGGTGGTGATAGTCGTAGTCGTCGTCGTAAACGTCGTCGTCGTCGTCGTCGTCGTCGTCGTCGTCGACGTCGTCGTCGTCGTCGTCGTCGTCGTCGTCGTCGTCGTCGTCGTCGTCGTCGTCGTCGTCGTCGTCGTCCCCCCCTCCTCTTCGTCCTCAACTCCCTCCCAGCCCTCCCCTCGCGACAACTCCCCAGCGTCATCCTACCCTTCGCCTTGCGTACTTGACACTTGCCGAAACAGCCACGCGCTATGTGAGCACAACGCGAAAACGAAATGTTGCGCGGTCTCCATAAGTCCGCCACCACGCTTGCAACGACTGGTTCGAACAAGTGCGTGTGTTGTTAGTTCCGCTTCGTACGGATCAGCATTTGGGCCGGTAGTTCCCCCCGACGCATCGACTCCAACACGCGTGAATCGTCTGGTGTTATTACACCCGTGCGTGCCTTGCCTTGAAACGTAAAGCATCATACGAAAACTAAAGCCCCGAGTGTGGCCTTTGATGGTACACCCCGGGGGGGCCCAGCCCACTCCCCTCCCCCCAGGACAACTACCAGACTGCAGAAAGCCGAAGCTCGGAACACACTACCAACAAGTGGATATAGCAAGGGCGGGCTGTCACATGCTGCAGCGTTGGATGTGTACTTTGAACAGTGTTGATTTGCGTTGAATTGTACTGTAAGGTTGCGCTGCTGCCTTGAATGCGTTGGCGAATGATCTGCTTTGCCTGAAACATGTTGTTGCTGATTGTGTCTACCTCGCATAGTTTTGAGTTTCCGCGGCAACTCTCTGGTTGGCATTGCATCCATTGAAGTGTGTTGCCTCGCGCTGCATCGTGTCGCACTGCGTTGGACCATATTTGTTTGCTTGACATCGGAATACGCTGCTGTGGTTTGCTGCATGCAGCGTTGCGTTGCCTTGAAACGGTCTGCTGTGCACTGCGCTTGCTTGATATTGAGTTGCCCTGCTCGCCAGGGAGATGACAACCAAGATCCTCGAGAACCAGTAGCCTGGCCTGGAGACAACTATGCCATCCGCACCCTAACACGGGAGAGAGACGGATCCCTTCGACAATGCTTCATGGGGAAAGAACGCCCCATTCGTAACAGGATATTGCACATCAGTTACAAGAAGAAACCACACACATAAACATAAACTTTTGGCGCTGCGCGCGGATTTCTTCGATCCGCGCTGTGCCCCCCTCCCTGGCGCGCGGAGCGCGCCAGGGGCGGCGCCCCTGGGGCGCGGCGAGGGGGCTCCCAGCGCGGATCCAGAAAATCCGCGCGGAGCGCCAAAAGCTTCTCTTAATGTGTTGCTGTTCTTCTTCGATCAGATTACCTGCCTTTGCCATATCGGCGGTGAACACACCTCCCTTTCGCAAACCTCCCCTCAGTGAAAACGGCCTGGGACCGAAACCGACGGACCTGGACCCGCAAAAGGGACGGCTGCGACGCCCTCTCGCGAACCAAAAACGGCCAATTCCTGGATCGACGTGTCGGGGTAGGAGGTCTGCCCACCCTTCGCCATGCTCGTCCGAGGGCCAACAGTCGGTCGGGCGAAAAGGGGGGGATAGCAAGGGGGGGGGGGGGGGGAGAATCAGCTCGCGTAGCTGATTTCCCCGGCGCCTCCCGGCGCCAGGGGCGCCCATGTATCGAGGGATGGGCCCCTCGGTGGGGCCGAAACCAGCTGCATGCAGCAAGTTTCGTAACCCCCCCTTTCCCAATCTCCCCCTTTCGCCCAGCCCGAGCCTCTGAAACCAGAGGCCCGGGCCCCGGAGGAGAAAAGGGCCCTGGAGCACACCGAGGATCGAGGGCCGGAGCATCGGGGATCGGCCGAGAGCATCGAGGATCGGGAATCGATGGTCGAGGCTCGGGAGATCGAGGAGCGATCGAGGATCGATCGAGGCTCCATCGAGGATCGAGGATCGAAGATCGATCGATACCCTTCGCCGGACTCGCCCGAGGGCCCGCAGGCCCCGAACCGCCCCCGCGCTGCCACGGAGGGGGCGCCGGCCACGGAGCGCGAAGGGGGCCGCCACGGAGCGGCCGCCACGGAGAGAGGCCCCCCCCCGACCCGGCTCCGAGGCGCGGCCCGAGAGCCGGAGCCCCGGCGATGACGACGACGACGACGACGACGACGACGACGGCGATGACGACGACGACGACGATGACGATGACGATGACGATGACGATGACGATGATGATGCTGATGATGCTGCTGATGATGATGATGACGACGACAATAATGATGACCATGAGGATGAGGGTGACGATGACGATGACGATGACGATGACGATGACGATGATGATGCTGATGATGATGATGCTGACGACGGCCATGATGATGACCATGAGGATGAGGATGACGATGATGATGACGACGACGAAGACGACGATGATTATGATGATGACGACGATGAGGATGGCGATGACGATCGCTATGGTCATCGTAATTGTCAACGTCATCGTGATTGTCGACGTCATCGTCATCGTCATCGTCATCGTCGTCGTCGTCGTCGTCATCGGCATCGTCATCTGCTTGACCCCAAAGCGGCGCTCCATACTCAGCGCCTTCCCTGCTCTGGGGGAACAAGCAATGACAAGAACATAAAAACTCGGAGGTCCGCGCGGTTTCCTCGGGTCGGCGCTGGAGCCCCCCATGGCGGCGCCTCCGGCGCCGCCCCCTTCCCCGATGTACCACACTCTCTGCATCTGCACCCTCCTCGCCCTCTTGCGAACGCCCTGCCCCTTTTGCGTGGGGCGGTGGGGGGGGGTGGGGGGGCGTCCTCCATCTGCACGAAGCTCGGCGATGGCCTCGGCGTCGCTGGCGGCCCGCAGTAGGCAGAAAGCTCTCTGGGTGGCAAAGCGTGATGATGACTGCGCTGAGATGCTGCTGACGATGAGGAAGAGGAGGAGCAGGAGGAGGATAATGAGGATGAGGATGACAATACTGATGGTGGTTATGATGTTGATGCTGATGCTGATGCGGATGTAGGTGATCATGCTGGTGACGATGATGCTGATGATGCTGGTCACGATGGTGATGCTGCTCATTATGCGAATATGATGATGATGCTGCTGATGATGATGATGATGGTAACCATGATCAATCAGGAACAGAGGAGCAAAAGAAGGCGGCTGGGGTGGTACAGAGGTGGCTGGAGAGGCCCAGCACAACTTTGCGGTGGCGTGGTATCCACCCCCCGAAACAAAAACTCCTTGCAACGCTCGCCTCCCCCGCGCACGCGCTTCATGTATTGGGCCGAGAATCCAACCGCATGAATGAGCACCTTGGCATGTGAAGCCGTTTACTAAACGCACCCAGGGCAGGAATCGAGCAGGGCAGGGCTGATTAGTCAACGCCCAGGGCCGTTCAGTCAACGCCAATTGTCGGGGCCTGGGTGATTTTTCCTCGCTTGCTCATGGCTCCTTCTGCTGCTGCCCAGTGCCACGCATGATGCGAGAGCCCCAACGAGGTCGGCAGTGGCTGCCCGAGCGCAGGTGGCTGGCAGCGCAGCGCCGGCCTGCCTCCGATCGGGCCGCACCGTGCGTCGGATCGGCCCGCTCCGGGGCGGAGTCGACATCGACTGCGTTGCGGCCGCGCCAGGATGTACAGCAGTGCCGTGCGAGCACCGGGCCGCCTCGGACCGCCGACAAATCGGATTCGGATCGGATCGGGACGGCCGAGCTCGATATCTATGAAGGGGAACTGGGACACACAAATAAATAGACACAAATAACCCGATTCCCCATTGTTTCATATATATATATATATTGTTTTTCTGGGTTTCTGTCTTCCCCCCCACTTCCCATATTTTCCCATATTTTCTGGGGGATCGATGATTAATTGTGTCTGTGTGTTTCTTTCCCTCCTGAATCTCAGCGGGTCGGCCTGGCCCCTGCAGCGCAACTCCCCAGGGCCGAGCCGCCCAGCGCGCACCTCTGGAGCGGCGAGCAGCAGCGGGTCCCGCGCGAGATGGCACCGCGACCGTCCGCGGTGACCTGCGCGGGCCGCCGAAGCGCGGCACGCGGCGCTGGCAACGAGGGCAGCTTACGCGCGACCTTTCCGCGGGCAGCCTACGCGCGAAGGCCTGCTCAGTCGAGCTCGTTGTTCTGCGTCGCTGACTTGGGAGAGGCCGCCTGCGCGAAGGGCATGACCAGCCTCAAGCCTGCCCAGTCCAAAGCCCAGTGGCGGTGACAACCTCAGCGACGCGCCCTCACAAACTGTGGGAATCCTCGAGAACGGCATCGAGATGAGGCGAGGCCACACATGCGAAGAGAAAATAAGCTACAGGCTGGCAAAGGGCAGCTGGGGGTGCAACAGGGTCTTCTTGAACAGCTCCAGGGCGTCATCGTCCGACAAGATCTTGATGGTCTCGTGGATGGCCACGAGCTCCTCCGCCCGCAGCTTCTTGCGCTCCTGGCGCCGACCGGCGCCCGCCGCTCCGCCGGGGGGCTCTGGCGCCCAGGCCAGTTCTGGAGGGAAAGAGGATGATGACCAGGACCGAGACTGCAAGCGGAAGTGTCGGTGATGATCTTTTGGTAGGGAACCGAACTCTATATATACACCGACGCCGTTGTCTGGCCTCACACTGAATGTCGCACAGGAAAACGGATCCTGGTGTATACGGGATCCTGGTGTATACATTCTTCGTTGCTTCCCCAGGAAAGCGGGGACAAACAGTATACACCACACCACCCCGACGTCGTCCCCGACCCTCCAAAAAGTCCTGGGATTGAAAAACCGCGCGCCACTGTTAATGTATATGCTCAAGTTTCCGATTTGGGGTTGAAGACTCGCGCTCGGGGGACCCGGGTTCGCCTGGCGGGCCGCCAGGGGAATGACGAGACCCAGTCTGAAAGATGGGGCGAGCTCCCGCTGCAAACATCCCACGAAAACTGGACCGCCAACATCCAGGACTGGCCTATCAAAAAGCGTTGGCACCCGAGTTCCGGCGAACTCTTGTTTTGGCCATCGCCCATCTTGGCTATCGCCAATTCGTGGATCATCCTCGCCAAGCGCGGATCCAAGAAATCCGCGCGGAGCGCCAAATGATTATATTTCTGCAGGTTTGTCTTCGGAGCCAGGCTTTGCAGGATCCCGCAAGAGTCGGCAGGATCCTCAAACATCCTGCACGCAAGTCCGGGGGCTATGCCATCCTGGCTCTGCAGGATCCTCCATTGTCCGACGCTCTGGCTGACACCCCTTTGCACTGACCTCCGTCTCTCGGGTCGGGCAAAAGGGGGGGATAGCAAAGGGGGGGATTGAGAATCAGCTCACGGAGCTGATTTTCCCGGCGCCTCCCGGCGCCGGAGGCGGCCATGTATCGAGGAATGGGCCCCTCGGTGAGGCCGAAACCAGCTGCATGCAGCAAATTTCGTAACCCCCCCTTTCCCAATCCCCCCCTTTCGCCCGGCCCGAGTCTCAGAACTCACGATCGCTCAACCTTGGGCGATCGCTTGTTTTGTTCGCATTGCCACCTCGCTTTTGTGTGGGCCACCGCCGGCGTTCAACCCGAAACGCCCGCGGCGGCGTCGCCGCCGCGTCGAACCGAGACGAACCTGCCGTGCCGAAGCGTCGCCTGGACCAGGCGTGGCGCGACAGCGGACCGGGGGGGGGGCGGGATCGCCGCGGCTCCTCCCACTCCGAGGACTTGCTCTCGCAGTCCTTCTTGATGTTGGCGGCAAACTCGAGGTCCTCTGCGGGGCGCTCCCGGCCGGGCGTGCCCACAGCACAGCGCGCGGACACGCGGGCGACGAGGACGAGCGCGACGCAGACGAGGCCCCTGACGAGGCCCCCTCGCGCGGGCGACGAAGAGCGTGGACGAAGGATACCTCCGCATCCACGGCCTCGCGGGCCAGGCCCCTGGGCCGCGACCCAGCGGATACGGGGCATTATAATCGGGAACGGCCAAGAGGGGGGTGTCCAAGAGGGGGGTGTGCAAATCATGACCGGCGGCATGTGCGCGGCCCAGCGGGGGGGCCAGGGACGTAATGAAACAAGAAGAGGCGCCATGAGATCTGGGGAAATATCATGGCCCCCGCCATGAAGTCCACCCCCCCTATAGTCATCACCCCCCCCTTTTCCGCTCCCGACATAATCGCAGATGCCCCGCCCGGGAGCATCCGCACGACCGCGTATCCGCAGCACCGCGCGCCGGGATCCGAAGAGCGAGGGCGCGGACACGGAGGCGTTCGCCGCTCGTGACCGGCACGAGCCTCCCTGGGGGGAAACCAAAAGTGTGTACCGATACCCGAGGCTGCCCAGACCTCTCCCTTGGGCGCGGTCCGACCAGGAGTTCGAGGCACATCCAGCCGCATCGGCGAGGGCCTCCCAGGAGGCCCCCCCAAAACGGGGCAGACGAGGAGAGTGGAGCGGTATGGGTACACCAGATTTCGTGATAAAAGGGAGGGGGTCTGGACCCTCCAAGACAAGCCATTTCAGACCTCTCCCGTGGGAGAACCCTCCAAAACATCGTCCCCAGACCCCCCAGGCCCTCCAAGATAGCCTGGAAGAGACCCCCCCCGAAATGAGACCCCCCTCCCTTTATTACGAAATCTGGGGTATACCTCCTGCTCCCCTGCAGAAGGGTCGCTCGGGACGTCCCTTCCCCGCGCACTGCTCGGTCTCGCGCGTGCTCTTGCTTGGCTCGGCGGTTCAGGATGCTCCTCGAGGGTGCCCCGCCCCACAAAAAAAAACACGCGTCCGAGCGATGCCAAGACGAAGGTGCGAGGCAGGGATTTATCCAGATCCACCGCCTGGGAACCGACGCCCTGGTGCCCCCATGCAGGCGGTGGCTATGGATACACTTCGGCCCCTGGGGGCCCGAAGATGTCCATGTCCACCGCCTGCCGAGGCGGTGGTGAGGTACAAATTCCCGCCTCGGCGAAGGGGCCACACGCACCGGGGTTGAGCAGAGATCGACCGTCCCGGCATTCTTATAGTCCTACCACGAAATGTTCTGAGAACCCAGAAATTTTCAAAGAACCAAAACAATGTTCTTATAACACAAGCCCGATGCGTTCAATCAGGACAGACTCCCAGCCAGCAATGTTCTAAGATCATTTCGTGGAAACCACAGAAAACGTTCTTAGAACATTGTTTGGGAGGGCTATATAGGGAACCAAACTCTATACACCGACGCTTTTGTCTGGCCTCACGCTGAATGTCGCACAGGAGCGCGGATCTTGGTGTATACCGGGATCCTGGTGCATACACGTTTCGTTGCTCCCCTTCGGGAACGGGGGCAACGTAATTATGCACCACACCACCCCGACGTCGCCCCCGACCCTCACAAAAAAGTCCCGAGAGAGAGCGAGAGCCCGCCACTGGTGATGTGTACAGTCAACGCGCCTAGTAAGGACGCGCGTCTTCATCTAGGGTACCCTTGTGTCCTTGCCTCTGAGGCTCGTCCTTGCCATGATCACTGGTCGCCCGCCGCCCTACAAAAACCCGACTTCGGCCTCCAAGGGCCTTGCGTCCTGACCACCCGTCCTTACTGCACGTCCTGACTGCATGCTCCTGCCTCCGACCATGGGCACGCCACGACGCCTCGCTCGACAAACGACTCTTTCAAGGGTGCCCTCGGGTCCTTGCCTGCCTCGGCCTCTGCGACCCGTCCCTGGCAATCTTCGCAGGCCAGAACACCTCAATTTCGGCCTCCAAGGGTCTTGCGTCCTTACCTCGGGGAGACGTAAGACCCGGGTACGGGGGACTCGGAAATCCCCGACGAGGTCGTCAACAAAAATGACGAGGCCGAGCCTGCATTTTGACGAGGCCTCCCGCTGCAGACATCCCACGAAACTCCTCCTCGTCAAAATCCTAGGCGCGGTCGTCAAAAAACGATGGCGAACCCGAGTCCTGGCAAACCCGGGTCTTACGCTCCCCCGATTACCGCCCGTCCCTACCATACGTTCTCGCTGTATGATCCCGTTCCCGACCACGGGCACGCCAGGACGCCTCGCCACCGCTCGACCTCGGGCCTCCGCGCGGCGGCCCGCGACAGCGAAGGGGAACTGGGACACACAGATAGATAGACACAAATCACCAGATTCCCCAGATCTTCCCATATTCTCTGGATGTTTGCCTTCCCCCCACGGCCCATATTTTCCCACATCTTCGGGGGGATCGAGACGCGAGGAGGAGGAGGAGGAGGAGGAGGAGGAGGAGGAGGAGGAGGAGGAGGAGGAAGAGGAGGAGGAGGAGGAGGAGGAGGAGGAGGATGTTTCTTTTCCTCCTGAGAAAGGGCCGCCCGCGACGCCCGCCGCGCCGCGGGCCGGCGGGGCGCGCCGCGCGGCGGCCCCCGGCGCGGGCGGCCGCGGCGCACGAGGGCGCTCGCGCGGCCGGCCCCCCCTCGCGCAGGCGCAAGTTTGGGTCGGGCGTGTCCCCTGACATTACACCCTGCGAAATGCTTAAGAAATCATGGGTTAAGAAATTCATAGTCTCAGAACTTGAATAAAAACCCAACATTTCTATTAAAATCTGAAGATTTACATTGAAACATTAAGAATAATCGAGTCTCTGGCCGAAAACTTGGGTTTTCTTAAGCATCGCCTGGAGTGTATCCCTCTCCCTGTGCTGGGCACCTCCTCATCACGATGCCAATCTTAGGGATTCCCTTACTCTTTGAGGGCGGGTCCTTAAGATTGCCATCGCCTTCTGGCGTGTCAATCTTAGGGATAGGGATACGCTCGAGGCTGGTAATTACGGGCCGATTTTTGACGAAAACTAAAAGATTCGGAAATACCCCCCCGATGCTCCAAAAACAGTCCACAAATCGTCCCCAGACAATTTTTTGGGCTATTCTTGCATTTTCGACCTGTGGAGGGACAGGCTCGGCTGAAGCCTAAGTCGGGCAAGTCCTCCTGCACAGGGATTTTGGACGAGAGCCAAAAATGAACAAAGAATACCCCCATAAGGAGCAGCAGATGCTCAAAAAGTCGCCCCCCTGTCGAGAATCTCTCGGATCTGGCGGCTCTGGAAGGTGTCTCGGGCGCCGCGGCCCTCTCAAGAGCGTCCCAGAGCGTTCCAGGCGGATCGCGGGCGAAAAACCGAACGTGTCCAAAAGCTTCCAAAAATAAACCAGAAGACAGGAACAGATGTCCCCGTACTGTTTCTGGGACTCCTCTTGAACATTACCTTCCTCATGTAGAAGCACACGCTGAGGCGCCGCCTTCTTTTGCCCCCCCCACCATCTGCTACTTGAGACTGTGCGTGGCCCGCTTAGCTTCTATCGGAAGAGGCTCGCTCTCGACCCGCGGATCAAGAAGTAGAAGCACGCGCCCGACTCGAGCGCAGGCGCTCGCGCGGACTGGGCTGGGCGGCGCGCGCAGCGAGGGCGCGGAGCGGGCGCGCGAACCGGCGCGCGGGAGCCTCCCGCCGACGGGGGAGAGCAGCTGCTCGCAGAGGTGGCCCGGGTGCGCCGTCGGGGGCTGCACGATGCACCCCGTCGATGCGGACTCGGGATTTTTCTGTCGGGCGTTTTTGTGCGCAGGCACTCTGCGAGCAGTGGAGCATGGCTGAACCTGAACGGTGTTTTCGTGTTCGTCTCGTGTTCGTTTTTGTCCATCCTTTGGTCTTCGTTTCGCCTTCACCGCAAAACGACATCGAAACGAAAACGGCCCACGAAGTCGCCAAAACACCGTTTAGGTCCAGCCCTGTAGTGGAGCGCGCAGGAGGCCGCAGCCTCCTGGGATGCAGACCTGTGCTTGTTTCGGGCGTCTGCGCGGAGGCACTCTGCGTGTGATGGCGTGCGCAGGAGGCCGAAGCCTCCTGGGAGGTGGTACTTGGAATGCCCGGCGGCCCCTTCGCTCCACCGAAGGCCCCAGTGGCAAGGTTCGCATGGCGGCCTCGGGCCATTTCGACACACCCCCTGCGAGGATCGTGGCCCCATCGGGAGCTCCACCGACGACGCCAGTGGCAGGGTTCGCGTGGCGGCCTCGGGCCATGTCGACAAACCCCCTCACGAGGATCGTGGCCCCATCGGGAGCTCCACCGAAGGCGCCAGTGGTAGGTTTCGCGCGGCGGCCTTGGGCCATGTCGACAAACCCCCTCACGAGAATCGTGGCCCCATCGGGAGCTCCACCGAAGGCCCCAGTGGCAAGGTTCGCATGGCGGCCTCGGGCCATTTCGACACACCCACTGCGAGGATCGTGGCCCCATCGGGAGCTCCACCGAAGGCGCCAGTGGCAGGGTTCGCGTGGCGGCGGCGGGCGTGGCCCCATCGGGAGCTCCACCGAAGGCCCCAGTGGCAAGGTTCGCATGGCGGCCTCGGGCCATTTCGACACACCCCCTGCGAGGATCGTGGCCCCATCGGGAGCTCCACCGAAGGCGCCAGTGGCAGGGTTCGCGTGGCGGCGGCGGGCCATTTCTGCACATCCCTCACGAGGATCTGGGAAAACCAAAAGGTACCGATACCGCTACTCCCCGGACCTCTCCCGGGGTGCGTTCTGACCAGAATTTCGAGGCGAATCCAGCAGTGGTGACGAGGGCCGCCCAGGAGGCCCAAAAAGGGGAAAGCGGGCGAAGGGTAGAGGTATGGGTACCTTTTCCTCCTCTGAGGGTCGTGGCCCCTTAGGCGGACGCGTCTGTGCACGAGGGGGGGCAGGGGCGGGGCGGGAAGGCCGCCATGGGAGGCTGCTGCTCGAGGGGCAGGAGCAGGCAGCAGATCCAGCCGGCCCCTCGCGATCGAGCGGAGC